GGATTCCCCCAGAGGAGCTGGATGAAGTGGCCGGGGAGAGGGAAGTCTGGGTTTCCCTGCTGAGACTGCTGCCCCCGCGACCCGACCTCGGATAAGCGGGAGAAAATGGATGGATGGATGGATAATTGAAGCCCAGCAAAGGGATTTTTGCTCTCTCTTGGAAAACCGTGTAGCTCAGAAAGCAAAAGGAATTCTTAATAAACCTGATCACATTTTGTCTAGTGAATTCAGTGTCCAATTAACTCACTATTATCCCCCCAGGAACACAAATCGTTATTTTAAGACTTTCATTCCTTCTATCAGGCTGTTTAATGCTGAAAGAAGTAATTTTAGATTAAGACTATGCCCTTAAAACTATAATACTGAAGTATATTAAAATGTGCATTCTTCTGTTCCTTTTTTCTCTCACTGAGACCCAGGAGAATCAGAGTGTGTTATTTATTTGTGTCCTTGTACCCATATAATGCTGTTTTCTGTGGCATGTTAATGATAGACAGTTGCTCTGTATAGAGTTTTATTTATGTGAACCTTGTTGGGTGTGGAACTGAATTGCCCTTCTTGGATAAATAAAGTTATCTGAATGCTGAATAATATGTACAAACACTGTTCACAGGAGACAGTGGTTACCCACCTAAGCACTGCCTATTAACCTCATTTCACCAGCCATGTAGAGAAAATTCTCAAAGTTAAAGTTGTCCCCTTAATTGATGGCAAACTAGCCCCATTACAGTTTGCTTATCAGGATGCTTGGAGGATGCAAAACTCGGCTTTTAACAAGATGCTGCTTTGGTGAGGAGATGGTGGCCTTCTACAAGGAAGGTAGCCTAAAAAAGAGTGGGCAAGCACAGCTGCAAACTACAGTAAAGGGGACTACCTCAACCCCCGGTGTCCTTGTGTCCACCAGTGTACAGCAAACACCCTCAATGCAGCATAAGAATAATGAACCGGATATGTCCAGTCCATCTACTTCTGATTTCACCAGCTGGATTTTCACCAGCATCAGGCAATCAAACATAAAATCCAGGAGCTAGCATTATCAGGAGTCATAGAACCTTCTGACAGTCCCTGGGCCACTCTGGCAGTCATAATCAGAAGAAGGATAGATTTTGGCACTTCTGCATGAACTAGTGGTGCCTGACCCAGAAGGACTTATACCCGTTGGCCCAGCACAAGCAAAAGACATAATAGTATTCAGCCTATGTAATGCCCCACCCACTTTTGAGAGGGAAATAGAGTGAATCCTGGTCCACATCTCCCAGAACTATTGCATTGTGTAAATAGTTTTTTATATGTATTGTTAGTGTCATTCCCTGCTCGTTCGATCCTACTGTGCGCTATGCCCCCTCGTTAACCTTGTGTAGAATCCCCATGTTTACCAGCTGTTTCTTGTGTTTACCAGCTGTTACTCCAATACAATGGGGCAGTGCCAAAATGGTATTCGTTGTGTTCCATTTTTTAGTCCAATGAATATTTTTGCCTGGTAATGTAGGACATATTTGTAGGCCACTAGCACAATGTGAATGGGCACATAGGCACACTGTGTCATGGTGGGACATGGCGCAGATGAGAAAAACGTGACGATCCACTTGTGGGTCCAAGACAAAAGGGGGCTTATTAAGCAAAATTGAAAAAAAACGAGAAAGGCACAAAATAAAGGGACCACAAGGGATCAAAAAAGCAAAATGGGGAAAACAACAACTACAAGAAACCATAGAATAACACAAATGTGGAGCAGAGCAACATACAGTAGGAAGCAGAACTAGGCAAGGGAACAGTAACAAACACACAGTAACTAGAAACATACAAAGACTAACTGGGAAAATGGACTAAGGTAGGAACTTAAATACAAACTAAACCGAGCTAACAAGGACATAGGAGAGAAGCATTAGCCAGACAAACACAATCCAGAGTACAAGCAACAGGTGAAACTATCAATCAGGGATAATCATGGAACTAGGAAGGTTAACAAACTAGAAAACACTAATCTAACACTAGGAATACAAGGCTAATACAGAATACAAGAAGTACAAAACAAAACCGCAACCTAACACAAGAACCACAGATTGGAGAATTATGACAGAAAATAAACACTAGGAAAAACAAAAAAACTACAAACACTGAGGACAATAGAACTCCCAAAATCCCAGAACAGGTGAGGCTGGGATTTGCCACCCTCAAACCCACGACCCACACGTTTACAGACTGAGTCACACACTTAGCCCACAGAGCTACACAGCGGTCCCGGAATAGAGAGAAACATACAAGGGTAAAGCATACAGTTACAGAGGGGAAATGGCAGAATGGTCAGGAATACCTGCTAGCCAGATGGGGAAAAGGAGTAGGGTCAGAAGAGAACTGTCCATGACACACTGACCTTCCTTCCTGTTGACCCATGTGGCAGATTTTCAGAGTAGTCCCACCGAGAATGAGTCTGCTTGTGTGCCGAAGGGTGTGAGAAACTCAGTGGGTAACTGAGCTTCTCTTAGTGAGATGGGTGTGTCAATTCCATTGTCATTTTAAATCCTTGAAAAGAGCTCTATTTCCATTTACACTCATGCTACTACCCAATTTAATTTTTCTACTTGTATCTTCTACCCACATGCAATAAAACATTTTTGTTACAACTTCTCAAAATATCAATGTACAACTAAAAATTACTGTATTACCATATTTTAACTAGATCATGTGAAACTTCATATTACATGTACAGTGGTACCTCAGTTCTCGAACTCATTAGAACTCAAATTTCTTAAAAGTCGAACCAATCAGTTCCAAAAAAAATTACCTAGAGCTCGATCTGAATCTCAGAAAACAAACCGGGAGCGCCGACCTAAGATAACTTGTACGAGTGGGGAAATGAGTCACGCGGCACGTCTGTCAGCGGAAACAAAGGGTAAAGCTTCAGTCTCAGCCTCGCATTAGCTGTGATAGCACCGTGCATGTTTACACTAACTGAATACATATATTTAGACAGTAAAAATACATTTAGACAATGATAGACAGTAAAAGAAATTATTATTATATAATAAAATACATTTAAAAATTGATTTCTTATTCATTATTTTAATATTAATAATAAACCATAAATACATTTAATTATAATGATATTGTTGTGCCGAGCGGGTACAGAATTAACGGAGACAAAGGCGCAGACATCAGGGTATCGGGGAATACGGGGTTTAATTACAGGTAAGGCAGGCAAAACGCAACGTGCAATACAATGACTGGACTGGGGAAACAAACTGAATCGTAGACGTAATACTGTATAGGACTAATGACAACAACCAGAAACAGCTGATCCACACGGGGTTAACGAGGGGGCGTGACACACGGAAGGAGCGGATGATCTGGGCAAGACACATTGTTTGGACTTTACAAATTACTGTTTTGATGAATGTGCTTAGATGTGTTTAGTACAGTATATGCTCTTCTTGTTTTATCCGATTCATTTTGTGTTTAAATGTAAAAAAAAAAAACATATTTTTTGGGGCCGGGAACCAATTAATTGGTTTTCCATTATTTCTTATGGGGAAAATTTGATCACAACTCGAACTTTTTAGGATTCGATCCGGAGTTCTGAACGGATTAAATTTGAGTTCTGAGGTACCACTGTATATGCTAGGGGGTGTCATAGTAAATTTGTTTTTTGAATTTTCTTGTACCCGGCTACATAAATTAAAATTCAATAAAAAGTTTCTAAGTGCAGCCAGAGCGTTGAGGGTGTCCGGTTTGGTGACCTCAGGATTAGGTCTCTGCTTTTTGCAGATGATGTGGTTCTGTTGGCTTCATCGGACCGTGACCTTCGGCTCTCACTGGGACAGTTCACAGCTGAGTGTGAAGCGGCTGGGATGAGAATCAGCACCTCCAAATCCGAGACCATGGTCCTCAGCCGGAAAAGGGTGGAATTCTGTCTCCAGGTCGGGGAGGGGGTCCTTCCCCAAGTGGAGGAGTTTAAGTATCTCGGGGTCTTGTTCACGAGTGAGGGAACGATAGAATGGGAGATCAATTGGCGGATCAGTGCGGCATCAGCAGTGATGCAGGTGCTGCATTGGTCTATCATGGTGAAGAAAGAGCTGAGCCAAAAGGCAAAGCTCTTGATTTACCAGCCGATCTATGTTCCTACCCTCACCTATGGTCATGAGCTATGGGTAGTGACCAAAAGAACGAGATCGCGAGTACAAGTGGCCTCCCTGGTGAGGTGTTCTGGGCATGTCCCACTGGGAGGAGACCCCGGGGAAGACCCAGGACACGCTGGAGGGACTATGTCTCTTGGATGGCCTGGGAACGCCTCGGGATTCCCCCGGAGGAGCTGGAAGAAGTGGCCGGGGAAAGGGAAGTCTGGGTTTCCCTGCTGGGAACCGACCTTGGATAAACGGAAGATGATGGATGAATGGATAAAAAGTTTTGTATACTACCTCAAATTAGTCAAAATTTGTAGTTTTACTATAGTAATGATAATTTCATTTCTTTTTCTGTCAACATTGGCACGCAGCATGAATACTCTGCCGTAAAGTCCATATGTAGTTGTAAGAGAATTGAAATGGTATTACTGTTGAATTTTGAGACATGCATTGCTTCATGTTTTTCTGTTTTCTGATGTAACCAAAGGCTTTAATGGGGTATATTTTTGCTTTTAGAATAATTTATCAGCACATTTTGTGTAGATTTTATTTGCATGCTTTTATTTTGCCATACGTATGAGTTACACAAAAATAAAATAAAAATGATAGAAACCCAAAGAAAAGTACGTGTCCAGTGTTTCATCCAGTTTCAAGGCCAACAGGACAAACCCTCCAGCTGAACTTCCATTCAGTTGGTTCCCTGTGCCAGATTTGTAACACTGGCCAACAAATTTTATGGATTTTTTTATTTCTGCCATAATTTTGGGTGAAACCAATAGATTTTAATGTGCTGAACACAAATATTTATTTGAAATTTTTGAATCAGGTAGGGTTTTAAAGAAAACTGCAATTATGCCTTTAATATTATAACGTCTTCAGTGGCATAGGCCTATGCTATGATATTGCAACACAAGAGAAGATTAGAAATGTTTTGATGCAGATTTTCGTTTGTAGTCACTGTCCGGGGCTTCAGGCTTTAAGACATGCTTGAGCGTGCCTGAACGTGCCCAAGTACAAATGATGAGACAGATTTTAATGAAGAATTTGATCTAAATTAGTCTCTAGTATAAATTACATCAGTTATCTTATTTATAAAAAAAAAAAAAAAAAACAATAGTTCTGAACTACTACTGCCAGGCATGTAAACTGGAATACCCATTACTATGCAAACCACTCCGATTCTAACATTGCTTCCCTACTATTAGAAAATTAGCTGTTTCTTAAAAACCTTGCCCACTGGGAAGATTTCAAAGTAATTTCTGTGATCAGCATCACAAAATCTATCTGGTGCACAAAAAATTTTGAAGGAAACAAAAACCATGTTGACTAGTGTAATTGAAGGATGGATGGATGGATGAACAAATGGATGTACTCTTCTGTCCATGCTGGAGCAATGCTTTAGCAATGTAATATACTGTAAGCTTAAGCAGCAAAATAAAATTTCATGATATGCTCTCCCAAAGATATTTGAATGCAGGTAAATGTAAAAACATGTCATTATCAAATAAGCATGAAGTGCTTCTTAAATGTTATTCGGCGTCTGGTGGAGCATCAGGACTTGCTCCTGCAGTCTCGTTTCCAGTCTCCATCATCTGGCTGTATTTGCTTTTGAAGAATCCAGCCTGAGAGAGCAGGGATAATGTGGTTTTATTCACATAACAGAGAAGGCTAATCAGTGATAGCCTGACTAGTGCATAAAAAATACAGTAGTCCCCCTGTATCCCCGGTTTCAGTTATCTGCGGTTTATCATGGTCAAAAAATATATATACTGTATACAGACGCTCCTCTACTTACGAACTTTCAACTTATGAACTTTCAGACATATGAACAAAGAGGACTGTAAGTCCAAATTGTGTTTCTTGGGCTCCCGTTTCCTGTCCACAATATAATTTTTTTTTTCTGCACACCAATTCCGCCTAGTACGACTTCGCAGTAGCGTAGCGTGCTACTCCCAGCATCCTAGTTCTTAGTACTTGCATATACCCTTAAAATGATGTTGAATAACGACTTACGAACATTTCAAGTTATGAACGGCCATTCGGAACATATCTTATTCGTAAGTAGAGGAACGTCTGTACTGTAAAATGTGTAACAGTATGTATTTACATTGTTCCTTCATCCATTGATGGGTATAAAAACACGATTTCATTGCACAATTTCATTGCTCTGCCATCCCTTAATACCTGATATTTTTAATATATCATCTCTTGAGAATTAGGCTAAAACGTCAGAGTCCCTTTCATTTAAGAGAGTTACAGTTGTGTTCAGAATAATAGCAGTGTGTCTAAAAAAGTGAATAAAGCTGAAAATCCTTATAATAGTTTTTATTTCCATACAAGCAAATGCATTGGGAGCACTACAAATTCTACTCCAAATCAAAACAAGAAGAGAAATTCATCACATTTGTGTTATTCTTTTACAGAAAGGGAAGGAAATGGAATATTAGGCTGTTCAAAAAAATAGCAGTGTCCACATTCTTCTTTACAAACTCAAAGATTCACCGTATGAACTGAAAAATGTTTTAAGATTTTGCTTTCTTTTGAATCATTGAACTAATAATTAATTGTATAACCACTGCTTCTCAGAACTGCTGTACATTTGTGTTGTAGGGAGTCGACCAACTTCTGGCACCTGTGAACAGGTATTCCAGCCCAGGATGATTGGACTACATTCTACAGTTCTTCGGCATTTCTTGGTTTTGCCTCAGAAACAGCATTTTTGATGTCACCCCATAAATTTTCTATTGGATTAAGGTCCAGGGATTGGGCTGGCCACTCCATAACGTCAATCTTGTTGGTCTGGAACCAAGATGTTGCTCATTTACTGGTGTGTTTGGGGTCGTTGTCTTTTTGAAACACCCATTTTAAGGGTCATTCCATCAGTCCACAAAATTTTGCACCTTTTCTCTTTAGACCAGTCAATGTGTTCTTTGGCAAATTGTAACCTCTTCAGCACATTTCTTTTTTTCAGCAATGGGATTTTGCAGGGGCTTCTTGCCGATAGCTTGGCTTCACATAGGCGTCATCTGATTGTAACAGTACTCACAGGTAACTTTAGACCTTCTTTGATCTTCCTGGAACTGATCATTGGCTGAGTCTTTAACATTTTGGCTATTCTTCGATCCATTCGAACGGTAGTTTTTCATTTTCTTCCATGTCTTTTAGGTTTTGGTTGCCATTTTAAAGCATTTGCGATCATTTTAGCTGAGCAGCCTATCGTTTTCTGCACTTCTTTATATGTTTTCCCCTCTCCAATCAACTTTTTGATCAAGGTACGCTGTTCTTCTGAACAATGTCTGGAACAACCCATTTTACTCAGAATTTCAGAGAGAAATGCACTATAACTAGCATGTACAACATTTGCTGCCTTCCTTACTTAAATAAGGCCCACAATTGGCACCTGGTTTTTCACAGAACAAATTACCTCACTAATTGAACTTCACACTGCTATTATTTTGAACACGCCCCTTTCAATTAATGATTCAATTACACAGAATCAGCAGCATGCATATCATGACTGTTGAGTCTTTTGGTTTTCCATTACTCTACTAGACCTACTAGTAAATTATTTGCCATGTAGAAATATAATTTTTACCAAAAACAGCGATTGATCAGTTTAGTGATGTTGGATTGCTATTATTTTGAACACAACTGCATATACTACTATTGTACTACACAATTCCAAAATTTGTACAGTAGTATATAATGTACAATGTACTTTACTATTACTGTACTTAATGTAGGTAACGTCTTACTGTGTGTAATTTATCAATTGAAATCACATTATAAATGGGGTCTGCAGGTGGTTTGCCTTTATCTGCAGTATAACCATTCTCCGTAGCTCTTGGAACGTATCACCCGTGGATATGGGAGGACTATTGTATATACAGTGGTACCTCGGTTCTCAAACTCCCTAGAACTCAAATTTCTTGAAGGTCGAACAAACCAGTTTGACCTAGAACTCGATCTGAATATCAGAAGTCGAACCGTGGATGCCGACCTAATATAAATTGTACGCGCCAGGACAT